GGTGTCAATGCTGCTCGCCCAGGCACCTCACCTTGAGTAATAAAGGTAGGGCTCTCCTGGGGTGGGGTTGGGGCACACCTCCCAGCTCTGCCCAGCTCTGGCCCAGCTCTGCCCAGCTCTTGGGTATTTTGTATTTGATCTGACTCTCCCACCCCCATCTCCCAGCGCGCGCGCTTCGGTCGAGACGCTCCGCTCCTGTTCCTCTATACGGCTGAGAGAGGGCAGGCATAGTACCCTGTACCTGAGGCAGGCACTGAGGGCTCCGCCACCTGCCCGGACCCCTGGCTTCCTCACTCCAGGGACTCAGTGACTGCTTCCCTTGCCCATAGTCTCATGTCACCTTCACCCAGCCTCACGCCTCTTGACAACGTGCTTTCTAACTTTAGGCCATAGACTGGTGGAAAAACGACCAACATCTGACTGTCAAGTGCACACTAAATGCCTGATACTTTACATGTATGGTTCTCATTTAATCTTCACTACCTCTATGAGGAAAATGCTAATTTCTCTTTTAAGTTAAAGAAACCGAGGCTTAGAGATGCGTTGTGAACAATGACCAGTGGGGCTGAGGTTAGAATCCAGGGCTGACTGCCAGGGGCCGCCCGTCGTGCACCGGGCACACTGCTCCTCTAGCTTGGCTCAGTGCCTCCCTCGGGGATGATGGCCTATGGCGCAGGGCTACCCGCCTCTGAAGGTCAGAGGGCAGTGGTCACAGGCTCTGAAGAACCATGGGGTCAGGTGTCTCTCTAGCTGGCACTGCTTCATTCTGGCCCTAGTGCCTGGCTCATCCCTGCCCGAGCGCCTCCATCCCCAGAAGCTGGCACCCAGCTCCCAGCCCTCCCCAGCCTCGGGGCAGGGTTACCGTCTCCTTCAGCTCCTCCAGCTTCTCCTGCAGCTGGTCCAGCTTCTTGGCCAGCTCCTTCTTGACATGCTGCTCCGACTGAAACGCGCTGGTAATCTCCATGTTCTCGTTGGTCTGGACAGAGAGAAGCAATCAGTGGCCACCTAACATGGCTGGAGACCCCAGCACACGGTGTCCGCCTCCCCCGGCTCAGGGAAGGGAGCAGGGCTCCCCCTGCACACATCGGGGGAGGGTTCTCGGGGTCACCTATGAAAACGGTGCTTTCATAGGCACCGTTTCACATAAGGCCCATAGCACCCCATGTTAAAGGTGGAAAAACGGAGGCCCAGAGGGCTCAAGTGTCTCGCACTGCACCGATGGGGAGGGCGGGGCGGGCGGGATGGCGTACCAGCCTGACAAAGCCGTTCTGCAGCTCGGCCAGCTGCTCCTTGAGCTCCCGGTTCTGGGAGAGAGCGCGGCTGATGGTCGTGCGGTCGCTCTGCATGGTCTCCAGCACCCGCTTGCGCTCCTCCGCCTGCTCGCCCCAGCGCTCGGCAGCCTGCTCCAGCTCCAGCAGCCGCTGCTCCTGCTCCCGATTCAGACGGCTCAGACCCTCGTTGTCTTGCACCTGGGCCTGCAGCTGCCCCGCCAGGCTCTCTAGTTCCTTCTGTAGCTGCCTGGCCTCGGCTTCCAGCCGCTGTTCCATCTCCGAAGGCCCTGCTGGGGGCTGCTGGGGTGGGGGAACGGCTGAGGAAGGAAGCATACGGTAAGAACCTCTGCAGTCTCAAAACACCCTCTTCTTGGTCCCTGGCTCCTAACTTGGCCCCCTCACCCAAAAGCTTGGCTTCCTGGCTGATAGCTCCTCACACTCATATGATGTTCAATCTTTCGAGACACTTTCAAATAGAGTTGTTTAAATTTTTATGCTCAAGACAACTCGGTTGGCAGTGAGCATGCCATCCTTTTGCAGATGGAGACACCAAGGCTCAGAAAGATCGCAAGACTTGCCAACTCCTGGAACAGACTTCTTTCCGCTGCCACGATGACCTTCCATCCACCCACCCCCTTGGGGGCTTTTTAGCCACCCTCACCAGCTCTCCTGACACAAGTCCTGTTCCCAGATCGCCCTGACCTCAGCTTACCTATCTGGTTCCTCAGTTCAGTCAACCTGGTCTCCAGCTCCTGCACCTGACTCACGCTCTGCTCCTTCTCCTCCCTCAACTTGCACATCTGCCAAAAGCACAGGGGAAAGAATATATGGAAGGAGGGGACAACTGAATAGCCAAGCGACCATCTCCCTCTCTACCCCCACCTACAAAACACGCACACCCACCTCTGGCTGCATACAGCAAACGATACGATTCCCATTTTCTAGATGCCCAGAAAGATCAAATGACCTATCTAAGGTGGGGGGGGCCGAAGGTCACATCTCACCTTCTCTGACATCTGCTCCATCCTCTGTTGCCAAATGGCATTCTCTTCTTTCAGATTCTCCGCGTACTGGTCTCTCTCCATCTGCAGTTGCTTCAGCAAATCCTTCAACTGCCAGAATGGACATGGAAGTTAGCAGGGGCTGTCACTGGGCCTCACCGGCTCCTGGTCACCTGGGGTCAACCTCCTTCCACGCCCCTCCCTCTGCAAAGCCTCACCTGCTCCACATGTGCCTCCAGCTTTGAAAAAAAAGGGCCTGCTCTAACTGCTGCTTGCTATCAGAGGTTTCAGACTGACTGGAAAGCTGGATGGTGAAAAATGAGGTTAGATCTGGCAACCCATGCAACGCCTCCCAAAAGAGTCTGAGCTTGGGTCAACGTACAATGCAGGGGCGATAAAGATTTCCATCCTCGTGTTATTAGTACCATGTCCACAGGGTTTATATGTACTAAATACTCATTGTAAACTATTCAGACAGTAAGTGTTCAAAGTCCTCCCAACCTTTCCTCTAGCCCCCCAATCCCACCAATCTCCCGTGTACCCTTCCAGACCTTTTCTATGCATATGCAAACAAATTTAATTAATGCACATTACAAGTTGTGTTGTCTTGGGGGCCTATCATATATGGTTCTAGAACTTATTTTCACTTTGCTACGAATAAGATACATTTAATTTTTGAAATGGTTTCATAGTCCTATATATCAATGCAGCATGCTTTCTGTATACCTTTACCAATGGCCTTTTAGATGGCTATAATGAGTAAGGTGACACGTGCTGGTCCTCAAAATGGAGTGGTTGGGTCAAAAGTATGAGCAGCCACCTGAATTTCGGAGCACCCTTAAGCCCTAACTTCTTGTATCTCTAGTAGACCGTTTATTAGACTGCCTATCACAGGAACAGGCACAAAGATTGCCCCCTAGTGGACAGATGGATGGGAGGCGAGGCAAAGAGGTATTAAAATCCATTTGCTGCCCAGGCCAAATTGGAGACTCATGTTTCACTCTAGGGTCCTGACCATAAAGGAGCCCTGACAATCATATCCAGAAGAGAGCGATCAGGAGGGAGCAAGAGTTGAAGGAGCTGGGCTGATTAGCTCAGAAAAGATCTTAGGAAGGACAGGGAGCTCACACACTTTTCCTAAGACAGATCTGCCTTAGGAAAGAGATGAGATTTTTCCTGTGCTGTTCTGGAGGGAAGAAAGACCAGTGGGTGGAAGTTACATGAAGGCAAAGTATCGCTCACTGTGAAGAAAAACTGGAGAGGGGCTCTCCAGGCGCGCTGACTACCTGGTGGCTTGGCCCTCAAGAGGAAGTCAACAGACTCATGGGCTAGCCTGATAAATGTCATCTATAAAACAATAGTTTTCAACTAGGATGCTTTAAATGACAAAATTAAAAAGCCTTATCCCTGAGGTCTGATTCCACAGTTTGGGGAGGGTCTCAAGTTGTATTTTTATCAAAATCTAGAGGAGTCTATGGCAAGACCAGAACAAGGATCCGAATTTCCTAGCTCCTGGCTGGGGGCCACCGACGATGATCCCGAGACCCGACCCCAGCTGCCCTGTAGTCCCTGGGGCTCCAGCCCCTCACCTGCTGCACCAGCAGCTCTGACATCTCCAGCTTTTTTTGCGACTCCTCAAACCTGAGTTGCATAGCCGAATTCTCAGTCACCAAGACCCGAAGCTTCTCCTCCAGTTCTGAGTTCTGCTGCTTCAGGTCCTCATTGGCTTTGCTATGGCCAGAGACAGTGGGAAAAGGCATGAACAAAGACCAGAAAGGATCACTGTGCTGATCAACCCATCGCCCTCGCAAAGAACTACAGAATAGTGTCACTGGAAGGGATCCCAGGATCAAGAGTCACAAATGACAGGCCAGAGAGAGGACAAGAATCACGTGAGGCCAAGCATGAGTCGGTGGCACAGCTGAGACGAGTGCATGTCCACAGCTGGTATCCCTCCCACTTCCCAGCACATCCCCCAGCCCGAGGACCCCCTGGCCTCCCCAACCCCCATCCTACTTGCTCCTGTATAACTCCAGCCTGAGGGTATCTCGATCTTTGGTTAATTCCTTGGTGTACTGAAAAAACAAAAAGGCCAAGTCAGGGCTGGGCAGGCGGACGACGCAGCTCACACTAACAGCAACGGCAGCAATGCCACGGCCACGCTTAGTCACCCAGAGTCACTGTATATTTTTTCAAAGCATTTCCAAGCCCATGTTCTCATCTGCTTTTAATAAGAACTCGGTAAGGGTGGAAGAGGCAGGCCGAGATCGAATTCACAGCTGGCTGACAGAAGCCCAGAGATAGCTGATGATACTGCTATCGTTATTACTGTTATCATCATCACTCTTGAACCTTTATTGAGCACTTTACCAGGCACTGTGCCAACCCTTTTAATCCTCACAATCGCAATAGGAGGCAATCACTGTCATTATCACTATTTTACAGGTGAATGACACAAAGCATCGGAGGTTAATTCGCTTGCCTAAAATCACTTAGAGCTATAATTAGACATTCGGATCTGTCTGATTCTTTCTATATTTTCTTTCTAGGGTGGGGGCATGAGAGGGGGAATTAAATTTGTATTACAACTTTTTGTTCATTTTCTGAATGGATGATACATTCGCATTGTCCCAAATTCAGAAGGCACAGAAGTGACACGTCCCCCAGCCAGCCTGTTCCTCTCCCCTGGGTTGTTGTGAACTCTCACACACACACACTCCTCCCCTTTCTGCATGGAGAATAACATACTGAAAACGCTATTCTGCACCAGGGCGGCCCAAATACCTAGCGCCCTGGCCCCGGCCCACACACAGCCAGTCAGGGCAGGGCTGGCACTGGGCTCTGAGCCCTGCACCCCGGCCTCGCTGGAGACAGCGCACCCCAAATCCCACAGCAACCAACTCATCCCCGGCTGCTTCTCACAAGCTCCAAATCCCACAGCAACCAACTCATCCCCGGCTGCTTCTCACAACCGCATGACCTTAAAGCAGTAAGAAATGGCATGAGCTGCCCTCTGGGAAGCAAGACACTCCATTCTACAGAAGGGACTTTGAGGCTCACTGCCCACTCCCCAAGTGGCAGGGCCGGGTTGGGTGCTGGGCTCACCCTGTCCGCCTGTTTCTGCTGCGTGGAGATAGCAGACAGCGTCCGCTCCAGCTCAGCGATGCGCTGCCGGGAAGACTTCAGGCGACAGATAAGATCCTCCACCTCTCCTGAAATGACAGAAATGGAGCCCGAAGAAAGAATGCCACCGGAGGCCGGCCTGCATGCCAGGGCGGAGGAGGACAGGGCATCTAGAGTCCCACCTGCTTTGTGCCTGACTGCCTGGTGGGTATGGGACAGGGCCGTCTGTAATTCCGTCTTCTCAGATACTAGAATCCCGATGGTCTGGATATGAACCTTTGGGAGAAAAGCCAAATAAGTGCTGAGAAAGAGGGAAAGAAGTGTCTCCCAGGGGACATGAGGGGAGACCCTACGGTCCACTCACCTGCAGCTGCTCTCTCAGAGCCCCCTGCTCCTTCAAGCGCTTTTGCTCACATTCTGCCTTCTCCTGTGGGAAGAAAGAAGAAATATATCTTGCTGGGAGGAGGCAGAGAGAAAACAGCAAGGGACATGCTCCCAAAATGCCACCAGGACGCCCCCCCCCCCCGAGTGATGCTGGGAGGGCAGAGAGAAAACAGCAAGGGACATGCTCCCAAAATGCCCCCAGGACGCCCCCCCCCCCGAGTGACATCATATTGAGGTGGGAGATAGGTGAGGGATGGACAGGAGACGGGCAGAGTGAGCCCTTTATTTTTCTAGGCCAGGGGCAGGCCAGAGGAGAACAGGCCTGTGCATCTGAGTCCTCCCCCAAACCCCTCAGCCATATCGCAAGCAAAGAAACCACGTTACTTTTTCCAGTTGATCCACAGTTTCCTGGTTCTGTTGTTTCTGTGGGGAAGAGTCAAAGAAAGGTAACTGAGGCTGTCCCCTTTGCTATGCTCCCCAGATCGAGAAGGAGAAATGGGCAGGGGCCAGGAATGGGTTTTAAAGGGAACGTTCGCGGGGAAAGTTCAAAGCGCCCAAGCAGAGACTTTGGGTCTTGGGTAGCTTTGCTCCCAGGTACGGAAATGAGTGTCTCAATTGAAATTCCCATGAGAGGACAATGACATAAACCTCTAGAAATGAGGCCTGAGAAAAGAAAGACTACCCCTTCTGCCAGCTCGTGATTGGGAAAGGTGCATTCATTCAACGAATATTTACTAAGCACATACCACAGGCAGGGTTCTGTTCTCAAAAGCAGAGATACAGGAATGAAAAGAACCTTCATGGCCTTGATTTTCTAAGCTAAAAGGGACCTTGGACACCCTCTAATTCTACCTTCTCAGGAAACTGAAGCGCAGAGAGGAGACGTAAATTGTTCAAGGTCAAAGACAGAGCAAGTTTGGGGCGGAGTCAGAGCCAGACCACAACAGTCAAGCTACGCTTCCCCCAGAGGCAACAGAGCCACCAGGGCCGGTGTAAAGAGGGCTCAAGCAGGGGTGTCTGAAGAACAGAGAGCAGGCAAAGGGGCAGCCAGAGAAAGAGCCATGCTACATGCTCTGTGCTCTGGGGTCCCTCCAGCTGAGACCTGAGCCCCCCGGCACCCCATTCTCCCTTGGCACCAGGGGCCCCGGCCCCTTTCTTCAGAGCCCCCGACTGGCAGTGTGAAATCAGGGGACCCCACTGGACTCTTACCAATTCCTCTATCTTGCTAATGAGTTGTTTGTTTGTTAGATTGCTGGAGTCCAGGGCTAGAGATAGCTCTTGATACCGGCTCTGAGGCGCATGCAGAGAGGAGGAGTTGGAGGAAGGTGGGGGAAGAGGTAGAAAGAGCAATCATTAGGGTTGGGGGGTGTCTGGGCTGTCTCAGCTGGCAGCGGGGCACCCAGCCCCCGCTGTTGGGGCAGAGGCTGGCCTACAGGGTCACTGGGCCAGTCCAGGGCCACTCACCTCCAGAGCCTTTATGTTAGCAGAAGATGCTAGGCCCTCCCCGTTGATGTAGGATGTAGACTAGGAGAGATCAAAGAGCTCACATGGAGATGCTCTGTCTCCCTCCACGACAAGCCTGCAGACTTCCTGTCTCCATCGACTGGCAAAATTTTCTTTTCTGCCTAAGTTGACCCCTTCCTACAGTAATCCCTCTGTGCCAACCTCTCCTGGTTCTTATCTCCCCTTCACCTCTCTCGAGCACCTCTCATCCTGTGCTTTCGAGGTGCAGCGAGATAAAATGATGTAGCCAACCTCGTGGTCCAAATCCTTCGTTTGCACAGCTTCAAAGGGGAGACTCGGAGAAGGAATGACTAGTCATTACCCAGCCAACTCGACTGCTCTCACGTCTTCTACCCGCAAAGGAACCTCTGCCTCAGTTTCTATTCTATGTTCCTCCTCCCTCTGACCCCCTCTTGGTTCCCATTTCTGGGGTACCTCGGACACAAGACCGTTGAGCTGCTGAGAAAGCTGACGTAGGCTCTCGGTAGATGAGAATCTGGGGATGAACACAGGAGTCAGGGATGTAGGAGGCTCGATGGGAAAGAAGGGGTCACGGGCGGTGGCCTGCCCTGACTCCCTCAGCCTCAGAACTGCTCCCCCCATAGGAGACACTCACTTGCTTCCATCCATGGGACTAGGACCATTTTCAGCGTCATGGTTCTGTTTGGGAAGAGACACATGAGGTGGTAATTCAATTTCCAGTAAGTATCACCCAGCAGTGGGGTGAGCCCAGCTCATTCCGAGACCCTTCCGTCTCCCCAAACCTTAAGGAAAAGCCTGGTCTTGGCCTCCCTCACCCCAGTCCTCAGAAAGGGTGCCTGGCCCTAGGAACCAAGCTACCTGAAGCAAGGGGAAGAATCCGCAGCGGGTCCAGTCCTCTGGGGAGGAGGAGGGGTGAACATACAGTGGGGCAGAGGGCAAAGGGAGAAGAGGCACAAACCTGAGTTGATGCCATGCTAGTGACATGGGAGGGACCAGCACAGGGGGAAATGACACCGCCAGGTGACATGGTGTCATCAGCAGGTGGTGCTGCAGGAGCGGCGCAGTCTTTGGGCGCCTGTCACAGAACAGAGCAGGGGGTTAGGGAGCCATGTGGGAAAGAAGACATCTCACTGCCATGGATGCAGGGTGTGGAGCGGGTAGGACAGGTGTTGCTGCAATCAGAGTGACAGTCACACATGCTGGAAGCCACTCTGAGGTGTGGCTATGGCTCACCCAGGGCTCAGGCCGCTCTGCAGCCTTCGGGCCAGCCAGAGCTCAGAGCAGTTCTGCACGACCTCCTTCGTGAACATATGGGGGCCTTGTTCTCCCTGGCATTCAGCAAAAGACAGTATCAGGGTCTGAGCTGCGGCAGTCCCAGCAGGTGGGAGGAAGGTGTGCCGAGTCAGGGAGAAGAAGGCACTGTTCTTCCAGAAAGCCTGTCTGTGCCTCACTACGGGCCCCAGCGGGTGCAGGGTGGCAGTGAAGAAGCTGATGTGGTCAGCGCAGCTCTGCCTCCTTCCCCTCACGCTCCCCTTTCTTTCCTCCACTCCCCCACCAACCAGTGACCGCGTCTGCCTGACTAAGGCCTTTTCTGGGAAAGAAGCTGGCCAACTAGAAGACTCTCCCTGTTCTTGGAGGTAAAAAGTAACCCCACCCCAACCTCCTAGTCCCAAAACACCTACCCAAGCAAGAAACCACCTGAGAAACCAGGAGTAACTGTCCGCCCTTTGACGCTCGGCTTCCTGAAGAACAATCCTGGGATCGAGGACCAGCCACTCTCTCTTCCCCAACTGGACCCACCTGCTTTACCAGAGCCCCACCCAGCCTCCCTGCAGGCTCAGGCCTGACACTTAGTCCAAGCCTCCCGCTCTAGAGAGCTAATGTCCAACAGGCCAGGTGAGCAGAGATGGGGAAGATGGGTGACAAACTGAGGCCTGATGAGGGAAAAGTGCTAGGGAGCCAAGACCTGTGCAGTGAAGTTGGGTCCAGGAGGAAGAGGCTGCACCTCTCTGCGGGGGAAAAGGGCTGACTGCCTGCTGGACCCCTCAGTCCTGGCCTCTGAAAACCCCGATCTGCTGCCCATCTTAGAGCGAGTGCTAAAGAGCCTGGGGGAGCTGAGGCTGGGTCAAGCTATTTGCTGGTTTACTGTCCACACTGTGACCTTTGACATTGGAATCAGTGTTGCCTTGCCAACCTATATAATTGACTCTAATAGGCTAGAGCAGGGGTTCAGAGTTGGGCAGGCAGAATACTTTGGGGGAGGTGGCACCCTCCCAACCATGGGCCCTGGCCAGCTCTGGGTCCCTCTTGGCATCTTGGGATTCCCATTGATCCCTAGCATTAGACACGAGAAAGTTCCAAAGGGGAAATAAAGTATTTTTCTGAGAACTTAAATATACATAGCATGACTATTCTGTGAGCAACCAAGTTATTTCCTAATTTTAGGTCCTGTAGCTAAGTCTGGAGTTCAAAAAAATAAACATTGTCCACTCTCCTCAACTGTCCCACTCCATTAAAAATCTTTTTATTTCTCCATTATTCCCCACTTCTGGAAATGCTATCATTTCTGCCCAGGATACTGCATTCACAGGCCTGCATTATTGGAACAGAAAACTTAAGTGGGAAACAGTAACTGATAAAGAGAGGATTTAAAATCAGCACGAAGGGACTATGAGAATCTGTGTCTTCATTTCCAAGACAACAGAGGGACATGGGTGCAGAACATGAGCGTAAATACTCAGCTTCAGGACTCCTTTAGGCCTGTGCTGTCTTCCCCATGCCACTCGGTGCTCCTCTGAGTCGACAAGGTGAGTCACACAACATGGAGAGGCCTGCCTGACTGGGCGTGAGCAGTCCCGATGACTGAAAAGACTCTAACACCAGCCAGCAGTGCCCTGTCCCAGCCCCTTTCCCCACACCCTTCTCCAACAGGACCTGGCCCCATTTCAGCTCTACTCCTCCGGCCTGGCAGATGTCCTCCGAGAAAGTTAATGAAGGAGGAAGTGCCAACATCACGTCCGGGAGAGGTCAGCTCCTGGCTCCTCGACTTTCTGGGATGTGCTCTGTGAGCTCATAACCCTGGCCGCTACCTGCACCGCGCCCTCGGCCTAGGACTATTTCCCTCTCTCTCCATATGGAAGGCCGTTACCCACCGCTAATCTTCAAACGAACCTCAAATGCCACCCCCTCCACCTCGAATCCATTTAAAACCAACCTCGCCCTCAGCCGAGCATCTGGAATGTTGCCACACTTTATCTTGCCTCTTTCAGGGGAGCCTGCCTCCCTCAGTGGGCATTCTATCTGGTTCCCCTATCTTCTCCAGCACTTAGCCAAGTGCCTCTGCTGTCAAGGGCCCACTGAATATGGTTAAGTGTCCAGTTGATTTTTAAAAGAGCATCGGGGCGAAATGTCCTGGTCACTCATCTGTTTGTTTAACTTCACATCCTTAGTATCTCTATAACTCTAATGCAAACTCCCTTTTTTGTAACCCTAGGTTGCTGACTCAAACCAAAATGAATTAGTCAATTTGAAAAATCACAAACTGCTCTGTGGTCTCTCGGTCTTTTGAGGACAGATGCCCACAGGACAAGACTTGAAAGTCTGGTTTTATTTAATCTCTCCTAGTCTGAAAGCACCACTGGGACACTCAAACTTGAGGCTCAAAAAGCCCATATCCCACACACCTGCTCTAGAAGCTATTCCCAAATTACCTTTAGCCTTCAAGGTACATCTTGCCTTCTCCAAGATGATAAAAGATGTGGGGGAGGGGAAACAAAACCCAATCAACCAAGCAGGTGAAAAAGCAAACATTAACGGGCTGAGGGTTAATGGCAGCAACATAAAATAAGCCAGAGGCGAAGTATCCCCCAAATCAGAGAAGCCTTGGGGACATGCACAGCTGGGAGAGAGCAAGCCAGAGAGGGGTCTTGGCACTGCCTCACCTTCCACTTGTCCAATGGGGGGAGCACTACCCCATTGGAGCGGTTAAGGTCGGACACCAGCACCTTCAGAATGTCCTGAATCTACAGGAGGCGAAAAGGAAAAACAAGGGCAGGGGGAGAAAGAGAAAAGTGGCTTAGAGAGAGGTGAGAGAGTCAAGGAAGGAAGAACAGATGGTTTCAAAGAAACGGAATGCTGGCGAAGAGAAGGGGATCAATACCATGGCCTGTGCCATCTCTCCAAATGGCCACTTGCCGGAGGCCGAAATCAACAGAGACAGACAGATGGAAAAGTCCCCTGAATGATGCACTCACATAGAGTGAAGTCATCTGGCCAGTGCAGCTCTGAATCCGCTCATCAGACCCTCTCCTCGGGCCCAGGGAGATAGAAGTGAATCTGACAGGGCTCCAGACCCCCATCTCCATTTTAAAAACCAGAATTTCGAGGAAACGTTTGCTTCAACAAAGGGGATTACAGCTAAAAAATAAGTTTGAAAGACACTGATCTGATACAACGAATATCATCATACAGATATGGAAACCAAGGCCCAGGGGAGGAAGTGATTTTCCTAAGATCGCCCAGCGAGCTGGTGGCAGAGATGGACTCGACACTCCTAATCCAGCACCTGGGCCTCTCCTCACCACACCCTGGGGCTCTCTTGGTGCTTCCTAAAGGGAGAGCCTGATAGCAGGTGGCTGTTCTCACAGCCTGGCAGCTTGGCTTCCCCCTGAGACTGGGGATAAGAAAAACCGCCAGAGCAGAAAGTCCAAAAGCAACTACCTTTTACTGAATGTTTTCTCCGCACCGGGCCCTATATTAAGGGATTAATACAAAAACAACAACATCATAAATGTAAGTAAGACACACTACCTGGATTTTACTGATGTGGAAAAAGAGACCCAAAGAGTTGAAACAGTTTGCCCTTCACTACGTCCCTTGCAGAGAAAGAGGTAGGATTCAGACCCAGAATTCTTACCCAGTACCTGACACTTCTTCCACAATCTTAACCACTACCCTCTACTGCCCGCTGAATGCCCCTATTCCTGGAAGCCTGGCTAGCCAAGACTCACATCTTCGGCTGAGTGACACTCATGAGAAGTGGGTGTCTCAGGGTTATTGCCATTTTTAATCTTCTTTTTCTTCTTAGGTCCTGTAGGAAGACAGCCTTGCTTCAGCTGATATTCCCTTAACTGCAGAAAGAAAAAGCAGTGAGACTCATGAGACCTATAAACACCTGTATACACATCCTACTTTACAATTTACAAAACTCTCATATTCGCCGTCTGATTTAATGCCACGACAACCCTACAAAGTGTTATAATTCTCACTTAAGGACTGAAGAAATGGACTGATAATATAGCTTTAAAAAAAGGCAATCATGGAATTTAATTGTTTTTTTGTTTTTTTTTTATGGTGACATTGGTTAACAAAATCCAGTAAGTTTCAGGTGTATAATTTAGCAGTAAGGCATATATATATATTGCATTGTGTGTTCACCACCCATAGTTAGATTTCTTTGTCACCACATATTTGATCCTTTTTACTCCATCAACCCCTACTCCCCCCGCCCTCTGGTAACCACTAGTCTATTGTCCATGTCCATGAGTCTCTGTTTGTCCTGTTTGTTTGTTGCTTTTAGATTTATACCCCACATATAAGTGATATCATGTGGTTTTGAACCTTTTCCGTCTGGCTTATTTTGCTTAGCATGATTATCTCAAGGTCCATCTATGTTGTCACAAATGGCAGTATTTCACGACCTCTTAATAATGGAATTTAAATTCAGTCTTTTGACTCTGAGTTCTGGGGGTTATGCTATGAATCCGCAGCTGCCAGAGGGCAAAACTAAGGTGGAGGTGGAAAAGTCAATACTTAAAGTAATCAGACATCAGGATCCTTTCTCAGACGTCTGTTAAAGGTAACACACCACTACTCAAACTTTTCCATCAGAGTAGCCTAATGGCAGAAGCCAGTGAAGGGACACCCCTAGTGAATCTGGAATGGTAACAGGGAAAAGACAACCCAAGCACCATTTCAGAGAGAAGTCTATTATGATCTTACAAATCTATGTAAATGTCATTTCTAAGAACCTTAATATTAAAGGCTTTTTTCTTTCTCAAGAGAATCCAGCAAAACTGATGCTTCGGTCCCATATGTTTTCTGTGGCACACCCCAGAACACCCCATATTGAGATGCCCATCTGGGGAAGATTCTCAGCTGTGCAGTGCAGTTTCCCGGGATCTGCTCCACAGAGGATAAGCATATCTCACGGCAAAGAGCACTAACTGGGAGCCAATCCGGTCCCAGAATCATAGGGAATTAGAACGTGAGGTAGAGAATTCAGATGAAAAGTTAGAAAGTCTCTCTGGAGAGCAGAAACCGAAGAGAAAACCAAACACATTCTCCCCCTTGTCACCCAGAGACGTGGCCAACTTTTCGAGATCACTAGTAAAATGTAGACTTTTCATGTCTATGGGTAGGATACAGTCTAGAGTAAGAGAGCCTGAAACCTCTCCGACCTAGGTCCTATAGCCCCGAGTCCCCTTCAAGCTGGAAATGTGTGCCACGACCAGAGAAACCGGAAAGGCGGCGAAAACACTAGGCGTCTGGGTCGTAAGATCAAACACCGGGCTCGCGGAGGTAATGACAGTTCGGAGGGGGACTGTGACGTAACCACATTCCACTCCTCTCTACCGAGTCGCCGCTCCGCGGAGGGGGAAGGGAGCGCAGGGCCCGGACCGAGGTCCTTAGCGACCGGGAGCCCAGGAACCCCAGGAGGTCCGGTTCTGGGAGGCAGGAGGCGAAGACCGAGCCTGGAGCCGGCAGCCCCCAGGGTCACCGGCCCAAAGTCACCCGGGGGCAACAGGCGAGGGCGGGGGCTGGGCTGCCAGGGGTGGGGGGGCGGGACTGGTGAGAAGACGTTGGGGGGTGGCGCCAAGGGGCGCCGAGGGGTTTGCCCCGTGTGCCTCAGAGGCAGCACAGACTCTGACCACAGACCAGCAGTCGGAGGGGCCTTGGGCTTGGTCAGGGAGCCGCGACCCCGACACGTTTTACCTTTTTCCTGGCCGCGGCCAATTTGCTCTGTCGGGTTTCTTCCGACATCCCGGGAAGGGGAGGGGCCATATCTCTTCAATCCCAGCGACCACTGCGGAATTGCTTCCGGCAGCCGCCGCGCAGTTTTGAGAGTGAGCCAGAAAAGGAGGAACCAGGGTACTAAGCAACAGCGGTATGGGCGTGGCCTATATCCTCTAATCCCATTGGTCTGTGAGAAAGACGTCAGCGAAAGGGGGCGTGGCTATGCTTCCGCGGGCCTTGACGGACGGATAGAGTCACAATGAAAGCTGCGCGCGCAGCCGCTGTCTCCGCCCACCTCGGGAAGGGGCGGGGCCCAGCCTCTCTCAGGTTGCACGCACAGCTCGCTTTGTGACGGTTCCTGGGCTCCTCACAGCATTCTGGTTAACTGGCGGACCTGAGAGGCCTCTCTCCCGGCCACGCCCTGGACCGTCCTGCACTGCAAACCCCCCCGAAACGGGGGCCCCGGACCCCGGGGCTCAGGAGGTGGGCTGGGAGCGGACAGCAGGGGGAAAGTGCATCCCTTCTCAATCCCTTTCCTGACTCCCCATAGATCTGCACCACACTTTCTTGTCCCAGAGATCACCTCTAGGGACCCGATCCAGTCCACACACTCCATCCTGTCAGAATCCCCCCTTCCCGACTAGATCCAGTCCCGGTCACTCCTATTTCCCAACTCCTCCCGCGCCCCCCACAGTACTTCTTCCTGGAGCGGACTCTAGGTACAATCTGCCATTTTTCCTTTGGATTCCTCTCCAGGACCCAACCAGGACTTTCCAAAAGTTGCCGCGGGGCTTTCCGATCCCCGGTGAGTATGCCTGTGTCCCCCACCCCACTCTCGCCCACCACTGTGTACGTCACTGCTGCTCCCAGCCCTTCTCTCTATCCCCACGGCAGCTGACCCACCCCCAGCCGACCTTCTGCTGAGGAACTCCCAAGTTATTTCTCAGCCTTTCCCCGTCTTTTCCTCATGCCCACCAAGCTTCGAAGAAGAAGCAGTGTCCTGTCCTTGTCAGTGGCACCCAGTCTAGTTGATTAGTTATTTGTCATTCACTCACTCGTTTGACAAATTTTATTGAGTGCCTACTTCATGCCGCGTGCTATTGTAGACATAGTGCAGTCAGCAGTGAATATAACAAAGTCCTTGCCCTCTTGGAGTTTATGCTCCAGTGGTGTAAGGCCAACAATGAAAATCATATTATCAATGAGAGGTATGACATGTCATAAAACATCAGCACAAAGAGATAGTGAGTGGTTGAGGAGTGACCATTTAGACGAAGTGGCCAGAGAAGGCCTTTCTCATGACGTGTGACCTGTGAGTAGAGCTTGAAATGGAAATCTCTGGAGGAAGAGCATAATCGTTGAGTGTTTTATGTTTGGTACGAGGCTATCGTTCCATGAAGGCAGCGGGCCAGGCTTGCTGTCTTCTCCATTGCTAAACCCCTGGAGCTTTTGCCAGTGCCTGCAAAATAGTGCTTACTCACTACCGTTGTTGACTGGCTGGAAGAATAGGAACCACGTCTTCCTCGGTCTCTTGTATCACATGTAGACAGTTGATCCAACACACGTTTCCTGAAGATTAGCAGGGTACCAGGCACCGGCCTTCACAGCTTTTAGAGATAGAAAGAGTAAAGATGAACTGTGGCCCCAGGAAAAGATTTTGTTATAAACCCAGCGACATCACAGACTGAAGAGAAGAATCCAAGGAGACCTGACATGGACTCCCGGGGCCCTTTAGGTAGGATCGGGTTTGGCTGGGAGTGAAAGAAAACCCCAGATAATGGTGGCTTAAACAGTCATCAGAGAGCCAGGCCTCTCTCCTGTTCCACCATGCCTTCAGTGTGGCTTCTACTTCATCATCCAAGACACTGCTCAGCTCCAGCGTGACTTCTACATTCCAGCTAGCAGGAAGGATGAAGGCCAAAGAAAAGCCTGTCTTCTCCCTAGGACAGTTCCCAGACGTCGCGTACACCGTTTCTGGTTACGTTCCACTTGTCAGAACTTAGTTATAGGGCCACATCTAATTCCAAGGGAAGCTGGGAAATGCAATCCTACTTGCGGCTGGGGGGTGTCTATTACCAAGCAGAAGAGGGCAGTGGCTATTGGGGGACAACTTGTAAGTTCTGGATTGTGGATAACTGGTCAACCTGGCTAATGACTTTTTGTGCCACTCAGCGGCCATCGCCCAAGTCTGGCCAGGCTGATAGGGCCAGCGAAGATTCTCTGCACCTTGACATTCAGAAACTGAAGGAGAAGAGGGACATGCTGGACAAGGAGATCGCTCAGTTAATAGCTGAGTAAGTCTCACTGGGTTCCCGAGCATACTTAAGATAACTTTGAACTAGTACCCAGTAACTGCAGCCCAGTCATACTAGCTCGGTATAAAAACAGGACTGCGACGTTGAATTCAGGATGTCTCAGCAGCCTCTCTCGGGCAGGGTGTGGTCAGGCGCAGGAAGACCAGGAACTAGGAACTCAGGAATGCAGGTTATCCCTCTCCTGGTCTCTCTCCCAGGCCCGCATTCTCTGCCTCTGCTCTGTCTGCACTGGGCTCCATTCTCTCTCTGCAAGTGGAGTTTTCACTGCCTGGAGAAAGCTGGTTCTTTCACAGCTCCTGGGTTTTCCCACGCTCCTTGCTCCAGCCACATGGCACAGACTGAGCAGCTTCTGAATGTACATTTCACACTTGAGGGAATCTGACTAGCCATTCATGGGCCCATCTGTGAATCCCTCAGCTGTAGCCAGGTTCACAGTATCAGTGTGGCTAGGACTCCTCCTGGAGGGTACAGGAGCATTTGCCAGGGGCTGATCCCCTGCCCTCCTGTAAGCTTCAGTGGGCAGGGTCTATCTCGCCATCTCTATGTGTCTGTAGCACTGAGCACCTGGTAGGCCCTTAGTGAACATTTGGTAAATAGATGCCTCGTGACTCTCTGAACCTTGGAACCTCATCAGCTTCCTTAATGATTCTCTCTCTCCATCCCTCACCCCAGAGGCTACAGTGTAGATGAACTAGAGGACCACATCTCCCAGCTCCATGAGTATAACGACATCAAGGATGCAGGCCAGATGCTACTGGGCAAATTAGGTGAGTAGCAAGACTCCAGAGGGCACTAGGGCTTGGAAGGAGTCTCCCGTCCCTGGATTTTGCTCCTGGGCCTTCTAACTTGCCAACCCTCTCACCCTACTCAGCAGCCCAGCTCCCCGAATGCCCCTGCCCTCCCTGCCCACCTGGCGAAGCAGCTGTACAGCTCTTACCTGAGTCCCTGGGGTTTTTTTCCTCTAGTGTAGAGTCTGCTTTGGAGCTGCAGGCAGGTGTGAACATGGGCTCACCCCCCCTGGTGGACTGAAGACTAGGGTTCCCAGTCTTCTGGGGACTACTCAGACTGATTGAGACACTATCCTTGCTATCTTGTGGCTGACTTGCTACCAAAGCATAAAATGCAAAGGCGACTTTGTGTGGCTCGAAGTGGTATTTTGTTCCTCCTTGAACACAGTCTTACTATCCAGAGCGCTTAGCCAAGGCAGACACCTGTGTGCGTGGGTGGCTCAGACAGCCCACCTCGGAGGTAAGGAATTGTGTAGGTAGGCTCAGTTGCAGCAGCTCGCTCAGATTGGTGGGCATTCTGCTGTTCAGCAGCCAGTGACATTGGGGATAGTGTTCAGAGCCGAGACTGTCTGTCCAGCTACTGCCTGAGTTTTATCACCGGTTGCAGAGCTGCCTGTCGGCATCCAGGATTTTACAACAGGGAGGGCTTCTCTGCCTTTCGGTGAGGAATGGGTCCCAAAGGAGGGGAAGGAGAAAACGGAAGGAAATAAAGATGGATGAAGAGAGGAGGACGATCAGGGCCCAGGAAGAAAGGAATGTGAGGGGACTGTAGCCCAGTGGTTAGGGCATAAGGTCTTGTTAGACAGACACCAGCTTGAGACTTGTCCTTCTGTGACGTAGGAGCTGGCGCAGGTGGCCTATCATTTGCTGAGTGAATATTTACTGAGCACCTGCCCTGTGCTGCTCTACGAGGCATGGTATACATTGGAGAACCAGACATTTGAGGGTCTCTTTCTTCAAGTGACTCGTTTCATTGTTGGGGTTAGGGAGGAGAGTGGTCACTAAGTAAAGGAACACAAACAAATTATAAAACGTGGCAAGTGCTGTGAAGGAAACAAAGGACAGACATGGAGAGTGTCGAGCTAGGGACAGGGTGGCAGGTGGGCGTGAGATAAGGTGGTCAGGGGAGGCCTCTGAGCAGAGCCCTTCTCATAGGAGGAAAGAAGAGTCTTTGAGGGAACAGGAGGAACAGTGTCACCAAGCAGCCAGGGCCTGGCACATGAGCCAGGCTAAGGATTCTGGTTGTTAGCAGGCCGTGGGTACAAGGTACATGTACATTTCCATTTTGAGCAGGTGACTCTAGCTGCTCTGTGTGGAGAAAGGATTCTAGGGAGCTTTGTTTGACAACTCTGTAAAGTGGGGCAAGGGTTCGCAAGTCTAGGTTGGGGTGGCCTGACAGGGCCCACGGTGGAGAGACCCGGAAGGAGTGGCAGGAGGGTTACCTTGGCGACCAGGGAAGCAGGAAGAAGCGCAGGAGTGGGCCAAGGCTTCGGCCATTCTCCCACTGCTCCCGCTGGACTTTCATCCTTATTTTCAGCTGTGATCCGAGGCATCACCACCAAAGAATTGTATCCGGAATTTGGCCTAGACATGAATGACTGAGCAGAGGCTCACAGCCCCTTGTCCACGGCCCTCCAAGACAGGCAGATATGGACACGAGAAGCACTGAGAGCCCAACCAGCACGCCTACAGGCTTACCAGCAAGAAAGCGTCAGAAGCCTTTTTCTGGAGAACCCAACCTGAGTCGGGAGGGAACCCAGCAAAGAAGGGGAGCCCAGCTCCAAGGTTCCCGAGATGTCCCAATGATACGTGTGTATGTGCGTGTATCCCATTTGTAAATAAACATGTGAACAATCTTGGTGTGAATCTGTACGCG